ATTAGATTTTCTTGTGGTGGGAGGTGTGTTAAGAGTGAGGAATCTGCTCAAAAGAACATCTGAGCCAACCCGATCTCACGGTAATTCATACGAGGTGGCTAAATCGTACAAATTTCATACGAATATGTACCTTTTTTTGCTAAATCGTACATATTTTACAAGTTGGCCAATTCGTATGATTTCGTATGAATGATCTACATCTGACCCCGCCCCTAAACCTACCCATCACGTGGGTTTAGACAAATCGTACAAATTCATAACATGTTGGATGTTCTGAACATGTTGGATAAATTTCCCCCCCGCCCGTCATGTTTGTGGTCTCTCACATTTTGAAAATCGAATACGATTTTTTTTACAATCTTTTATGGCGCTTTTCCATTACCAGTACCAGCTCGACTCGGCTCGCTTTTCGCTCCGTTTTCCATTGCAGACCGTACCGCCACAAATAGTACCCGGTCGTCATAGCAACACCTTCCGTTCCTCGCAGCCCCATCAAGCTCTCGCTGGATCCTCTCTTCGACAACCAAACAAAGGAAAGTCTGCACTTCCTCGTTTGACCACGTCGTATTTTCTTTCGAGTTGCCATAATAATAGTAGTTTAGTAACTATCTCTGGCCAAACTATTTAAGAATGACAGGGATATTCTGGATACTCCATCTGGCGCGTGCAATGATGACACAGTGTATGGAGAAAATTCTCTCTGGCCAATCAGCAGTCGGCATTGTTTTCACGTCACATTTTAGTTCTGGCTCATCTCGCTTTAGCTCGCTCAGAACCTCGCCGTACCCGAAAGCAGTTACAGGTACAACTTTTACACAGTGGAAAACCAAACAAAGGCGACCCGAGTCGAGTCGAGCTGGTACAGTGTAGTGGAAAAGCGCCATTAGTGTGGGCCAGCCTTTAGATCTTATATGCGTTCTAGATTGTTTGCATTGTTGGCGCAACTATTCGGTTCTCTAAAAAAGTGGGAAAACGGATTGTACGGGAATTGTATTGCGACTGGTACTTTGAATAGGAAGACTGAACTGTTAAACTATTGTGTAATGACGTAATGTGTGGAGAATGGAAGAGTGAACAAGATGGATGAAGTTCGCTACTCCTGTCTTGTGTGCTTTATTATTTACAAACTCCTGACAGATACCACAAACATCTTTGAATGCAAGCCAAGAAAAACTAGGAAAATTCAGCAACTTATTCTTGTTCACTCAAATATTAAACCAAAGTTATATCACTCAACGTTTTGGTAAAAAGTTTACTTTGCCGAAACACAAATAGTCTTTTCGTTACATACCACATGAGAAAACTAACATAATTGTTTGTTTTCGAGCATTCCACAATACACATCCGGCCTCTTACTACAGCATATGAAATCATCCAGCGCGTTTTACAGTGAAAACACACACGTACAGTCTAGAATTCTTGTTAATGAATATAATCTAGGTTGCATTTCTTTGTACTGTATGTATTTGTCTTCCTTGCCCAGGTTTGCCGGCCATGGGGAACCTCATTAAAGTCCTTGGCAAGGATTTAGAGAACTGTCCTCATTTTTTCCTGGATTTTGAAAGTAAGTGTTTCGCTGGTGTACAGTGTGTGTACGTGTGCTCAGATGTATATGTGTGTGATTGGAGATGGAGGTATCAGGGTTGGAGCAGATATAAATGCATCCTCTAGGTAGATTAAGACAGACTTTTGTATTCGGAAACTATTCCTTTTTTCTCCCTTAATGTGGAAGCCAACCAAAAGTTCATTCATTTCCTTTCATGTATAGTAAGGGAGCAGAAAGAAAGAGTTTCAGTGTGATCCAAGTGACCATATTAACATCACCTGAGAAATCTCTCGTGTCCGGAGCGACATCGAAAGTCCATCTCCAAAACCTTTACGCCCGACCCCCTCATCCCCACACACCACGCACATTCACACGAACACACACCCCACACCAGAGACACGTCTACCACGCCTCCCATGACCCACACACTTCTCCCTTCTCTCTGTTCCAGGGGGATCATGGGAAATCTCCTGAAACTGCTGGCTTGCACCGAACTTGAGCATGGCCCAATAGTTTTCCTTGACTTTGAACGTGAGACCATCAGCTTGTTATGTTTTGAGTTTGCTTTTCTCATCACGGTTCCTCTTCATTCGCCGTCCTCTACATTTTCACTTCCTTTTCTCCGCCATCCCTCTGTTTGTGCATCAATGCTTGGCATTCAAGGGTTTTTCGGTGACCTCAATTTGTGACGTGCCTTTATTTTTTTCGCGCTTATCTCCAGGTCGACTCCAATCCGCTGAACTAAAGGTCGTCGTACGAATGCCACGCTTTTTTTTAGCAGTTAGAGTGGGATGGAAATAATCACATAACACTAACTTATCTCCTATTTTTCGCCCAAAACTTTGCAGACTTGTAAAGTGTGTTGGCGCCATAATCTGTTCCAGTATGTCCTTGTACATCTGGATGTGTGTGTGTGTGAATGCATTATTAACCAGTTTGAGGATTTAAGGAAGTGGGAATAGAAGCTGCCTTTTGAAAGGGGAGCCTCAATTTCCTTGTTCTGTTCTTGTTCCCTTTTAACCCTTACCTCTCTCTCCTGAGTAATCCTTCCTTTTATGACACCTCTAACAGCTACATGCCAAACATCTCCTATTTTTATGGAGGAAATAAAACACCTGTCCTTCAAGTGTGAGAACCTGGGAGACTTAGAGTGGTTGTTGTCCAGTCTATATCATGAAATGTAGGCTGTCCTTCCTCTAAAGAACATTTATTTTGGCAGGAGATGTTCTTAAAGTGACACAAGCTATACAGTTACTATAGGGTCAGTGACATGTTCATTTGCTTCCCAATGTACTGATTAATTGGCATAAATACACCTATTCTATGATGGACATTTGTTCAATTTCTACATTAAAATGTATCTTGTTATTTATTTGTGGGGCTCAAAGTAAAAATGTCTCAGTGGTGTTAATGACCTAAGTTAATTTCTAAATAATAATTTGGCATAATCTTTAATCATTTCTTAAAAAGCAGTGAAGCTATTTTAATTGAAAATATTTTATGTCATTATTAAAGCATCATTACCATAATTCAATTGATTAAATGTTATATTTGGTGTAAACAACATGCAGGAAGCCATATTGTTTCATGACCCCTGTATGCTTTCATAAGTTTGGAGCAAGTTTCCTAAAAACATCAGATGATTTGACGTTTTAAAAGACATAGCAAGGTTGCCCGGATATGTTCTGCAAAGTGAAGGCAAAACATTTCGATCGCAAAAAGTCAAACTGAAAACACGTAATCAGCAAGAATATTACATTTCATGGCACATTTTAAACTAAATCTTGACAATTCTTACTTGTCATTGACCCTACAGAAAAATCCATAAAATATAAAGAAGTATCAAAGCGTAACACAAGCAAAACATTTGGACAACAGCCGCTCTCCTGATCTTGACTTTCTGAAATTGTGACAGTAAAACAATGATCACCTCTGTTACACAGCCCTGGTTTACATTTCCTTAGCTCCAAAATGGGGTTACTGTGCCACTGACTAATGGTATTCATTTCAAATTCAAGACACAAAAACAACACTGCAAAAAAATGATTGTGATTTTAACGGTAAAAGATGGAAAAGGTAAAAACGCTACAATGCAAAACTGCATTGGTAAACAGGAAGTTTCCTTACTATATACGTTAAATAACTGTGATAGATCTAATTTAATGTATTCCCACAATGTACTGACATTCCCACAATTCCCAGCGTGGCACTTCACATTTGATTTATTTTTGTTGAAATAACCGTTTCCTTTTAGTTTTCATACAGTAGTTATTTTCTAATCAGTTATGTACATTAGGGTTTTATGTTACATTTAATGTTGTTAAATTAAAGCAGTAGTTCACTTTTGAAAATACTTTTGCTGTTAATTTACTCACCCCCATGTCATCCAAGATGTCCATGTCGAATTCAGTCGAAAAGAAATTAAGGTTTTTGATGAAAACAGCATTTTTCTCCATATAATGGACTTCAGTGGGAATCAAACAGTTCAAGGTCCAAAAGATACTTTCCTGTTCGAAGTCGTTCATCAAAATGAACAAATCTTTTTCCAAGTCATTTGGTTCATTCAACGAACGAATTGACTTGGAAAAAGATTTGTTCATTTTGATAAACGAGTCTGAGTCATGAACGTGCATCACAGAACAGTGCAAGGCAACCATTTGAGCGTATAAAACTTAAACTTTGTTGTTATTTTTTCTTTAAATGAGCAATCATTTCACTTGATAAGACCCTTATTCATCGTCCGGAATCGTTTAAACCCCTTTGAACAGTTTACAGTTTGTACCGAAAGTGTCTTTTGGACCTTGAGCCGTTTGGTTCCCGCTGAAGTCCATTATATGGAGAAAAATGCTGGAATGTTTTCATCAAAAACCTTAATTTCTTTTCGACTGAAGAAAGAAAGACATGGACATCTTGGATGACATGGGGGTGAGTAAATTATTTTTTTGAAAAGTGACTACTCCTTTAATGTTTATTGCATTTTTAAAATTTCATGTGTTATGGTGGTGTTTAATGTTTACTGCAGCTTCTATAAAGTAGTATTAATGATCTAATAGAAGACTGCTTGTGATGAGCTTTGATTCTCATCACTGCTGTTATTGTATATTATAAAGGTACAAAACAGATATTAATACTTCAATAGGTTGGTAAATTAACACTATATCAGATAAAGAAATACGGTTTATTACTTTAGTAAATTGTAAGTTAAGTCCATAAAACCAATAACACTGACACCGTATCTTTGACGGTAAAGTTATGGTAACCACAGCTGTCAGGATTTTTTTTACAGTAAAGGCTTTTGTGGAAATAGGCTTTGAGCTCCAGATCAGATCAGTTTTACTGAATTGCTGATACAAGTGATGAACCAAAAGGTCTAAATGGCGCACCACACAATAAAAGTGTGCAAAAGGGAAAGCAAACATTACAGTAGCACAGTAGCACTGATGTTAGTCTTCACACACTCTGTTCTTTGAAGATCACAGGCAGGCTGAGCAAGCAGAGCCGGAGGTGACATGATTGGGAGGAGCCACTGGCAATTACACTGAAGTGTAGTGTGTGGGTGTTTGCTCAGCTGATAGCACAAACATCTATATACATCTCCGTTTGGATACGGCAAAAGGGAGTGCACTTGTAAATTAGGCGGAGAGACCCCTGCTTAACAAGGATCACTTATCATAGAGGCTTGGGGAGACTAAGAAATCTGATTTAGGAAAGACTTTTAATGACAGCACAACCCAAGATGCCCCTTGCTGTAGTTTTTACACTGCTTACACTCTTAAAAATAAAGTTATTTATTGGTGGGTTATTTACTTTCTGGGTTTGTGGAAAATGGTTATTTAGATTATAAAGTTTTATAAAGATTATAAAGTTCTTTCCACTAAGGAAAAAATTGGTTATTTTAAGAATTGTACACTGAAAGGCTTCTTGGGTATCCTGTGGTTGAAAACTAAAAACTGAATGGAGTTACACCACCGAAACTGATGTCCACCAGGGGGCGATATTCTGTAAGGTATTCGTGTGCCTTTGGTTTCCTGCCTATCATCGGCTTATTAATCAAATGTCTGTGTTGGAAACTGACACGACTCTTTAAACCTAGTCTCGCCAGCAACTCCACATGGAGCCGCTTCACTGGCCGTGGCCTTTCGTCGACATTTCCCACTAGAGATATCAAGTCCAGCAAATCCTAACACACACCGACACAACCTAAATCCTCCTTATGTACTTCTGACTCACGATTACACCATCATCATTACCAGATTAATCCACACGGCTTTATGGTTCCTATCTTTTAAAGCCCGTCGGAAAGAGCTTCCCCCATCTGGGTGCCAAAAAAAGACGACAATTCAATGTTACCGCCAATATTAACTCAAATATTGGTTTATTTCAATTAATTTTCCAGTTTTTAGATGTAACACTAACTCAAATGGTTGAACACAGTAACTTTTACCCAATAGGACAGTGTGACAGAGGTGATATATATATATATAAATCAGGTAGGCCGAGCGAGGAACTGAAAAAGGTGTATCGTTTGGGCATTTGACTCGCATTTTGACTCAATCTGATTTCTGCCCACAGATGCTCAGCCCACAGAGGCCGAGACAGCCGTGTATAACCAGGTTAGTGCTGTTCTGGAAGAGGCCCATGGGATACTGGCAGAACTACAGTCTTACAATGGAGCAGGACAAGAAATAAGAGAGGTAGGGATTTTCTGAAGACAATTTGTGATGTTTACCTGTGTAAAACTAGCAAAACTAGGGTGCAAAACTAGGGTGCTAGAGTGTTGCTTACTCATTCAAGTTAAAAAAGCCTATCTTATTCTGGAGTCAAGTATGAATTTTATTTCATCACCCTCCAGGTTATTATTGTAAGCATATACTGTACATCTTCTCAACAATCTGCGTGATTGAAATTATTATCATGGATGTCCAGTACAATTGTTTTAAACTGGAAAATCTATTATAAATCTCTTATGGAAAATATGATAAATGTATCGGTCCCACTTTATATTAAGCGGCTTTAAGTATGTACTTACATTGAACAATAAGTACAATGTATTATTGTGTTCCTGTTGTATTGTAAAACACGTTTGCTGCTATTGAGGTGTGATACGGGTAAAGTTAGGGACAGGTTTGGTGGTATGGGTCGGTTTAAGGGTAGGTTAAGGTGTGAGGGGAGGGTCAAATGTGTAATTACAAATGTAATTACATAAATTAATTATAGCTGTAATTACATGATGGAATTTTAAAATATAAGTACATAAAATATAAGTATATCATAACAATTTCAAATGACAGTTTTTTTTTAAATATATTATATATTTTATTATATATTATAATATATTTTAAATATAATATAAAAAATATAAAAAATGTAAATATTTAAATATAAAATATATTTTATTATTATAATATATTTTAAAATGTAATTTACTCCTATGAAGACAAAACTTTATTTTCACCAGCCATTACTCCAGTTATCAGAAATCATGATTTGCTGCTCAAGAATCATTTTTCATTATTATGGAAACCATGATACGTCATTTTAAGGATTTAAGAATAGCTTTTATTTGAACAGAAATAGTTTGTGACCTGTTTTTACTGTCACTTTTGATCAGTTAATGCATCTTTGCTGAATAAAGTATTTAAGGTGATGTAGTTAGATGTTATTACATTACCATAATTATAACAACAACAGTAAATTATGCATAATTACAAGTATTTAACCCTAAACTCTATAGTAAGTCTATGTAGTTCATTAGCTTTACTCGGTACCTTTCTGAATAAGTACAATGTAACAGTGTCACCTAATTATTATTAGTTGCTTTATTAGAAAAAAAAACTGCTAAGAATTATTCATCCCAAGCCTATTATAAAGCACATTATAAGGCATTAGTTTAAGCAGGTTGTTGGGTTTGAATCATTCTGGTTCATAAACAGCAGATGTGTAGGAGTTATTCAGAAGCCCTACAGCATACGGTGTGAATTCATTTTAAAAAAGTGTACAAATGACCTTGAGTTTAGTCAATGTAAATGAATAATTTTGTGTCCCTGCTCGTCCTTCTCTCCAGGCCATTCAGAACCCCAATGACCTCCAGTTGCAGGAGAAAGCCTGGAATGCAGTCTGCCCTCTGGTGGCCAAGCTCAAGAGATTTTATGAATTTTCTCTCAGGCTAGGTAAGTGGGTGTCCATCCTTTTTTTCCATTTGTCTTTTTATATAGTCACATAATGGGTCTCGTATGCACGAGTCAACCAACGCGCTGACCGTGCGTACAACGAGTGGTGCGAGCATCCGTTTCGGTCCTCCTCTGCAGCTGACCTCGTACAGAGTTGGCATGGCAACCGTGGCAGCAGAACCAAGAGGAGGCTGACAATTCAGTAAACTCAGTTTGCAGTAGTCGATCGCCTGCCTCGTTTTTTTTCACAGCGGTGCTGACTAGTGAGAAACGCAGATCTTTGGCCAGACAGATAACATGCAGATAAGCGTTCCCCTGCCGAACTATGGCATCGCAGTGACTCATGAGAAAAAGAGGCTCCACCCTATTCAACACATCCTGCCATCCGCAATATCTGGTCACCGACTAATAGAGTCAGGTTTCTCGGTAGGTCTCCAGATAAAACATATCAGCTCCTTATTTATAGTAGGCCTTCTGCATATTTCATGAGAGGAAAGGATAGCTCCTCTGGAGACATGCTTAGGCATACTAATGACATTTAGAGATGGCTTAGCTCTGATGGTGTAGCTGTATGTCTTTTAGTCACCAAACACGAAACATACGCTAAGAGCTTTACACCGGTAAGACAGACAGCACAGATCTACAGCATAAATTCACTCTCATTATGCAGTGATAATACTGCAATAACACTGCTTATGACTCAATAATGTCACAGAGTGGTCGTATATATATTACCATTCAAAAGTTTAGGGCCTGTTTTAAATGTTTTCAAAAAAGTCAAAAGAAGATCACTTGTAATTTTCCACAAAAGTCAAAACATTCCTTTTGCCAAAATTCAGTGAGAGTCTAACAACAAGATCTGATCTCACCATCATTGAGTCCATCTGGTATTTGATGAAGAAACAGAAAGAAATCCAGAAGGACTGTGGTAACATCTCCAAGATGCTTGAAGAAACCTTCTTTAAGTTTTAGGCAAGTGTCGATGCTTTCAAAAATAACGTCATAACAGCTTTTGAAACAGCTTTTTTCCTCTGTAAACTCGCACGTTGTTTTTCAGGTAGCTATTCTTCCGGATTTAGTCTGTGTCAGTTTTTTTCTGTTTCTTCGTGTAATCGTATACCAGCTGTTGTCAAGACAATTTGTGCATACAAAAATCTCACTAGATTATTACAATAATGGCAAAAGGAATGGTTGGAAATGTAAACATGATATTTGAAAGTGAAAAACATTTTTTTAAGACTTTGTGCAAAGAGTTTAGCACAGTACTATACACACATTTACAAACTTTTATGTTAGATGCGATTAATCATGATTAACTGATTTCACAGCGCTAATTATATAATACAAATTCTTCAATAATAATACTAAAAATCAAACTGATCTCATGAAGTAGCGTGTGTATGACACGCCAATTCGTATTTCCATTTTTGGCATGCTATCAAGACGCATAATCGCTTTTCAGCGTGTTTATGAACGCCGTTGACTTAACGTTATTACTGTATATATAAATATATGACTTACCTCAACCCCGTCCCTAAACCTAACCGTCACTGGGATTAATGGTATTTATGACTGTTCCCTTACCATCCTAGGAAAAAAAAAAGATTGCTCCCCAGATGTAGATCTACATTTTGCTTCGTTTCGCGCGGACATTTGACGGCGTGTACAGACACGCGGAATCACTCGGACGTTAATGGCGTAGACATTCACGCATACACGCGGATAGCTCAAAATGCGTAGCGATAAAAATATTGCTAAAAATATAAATTCTTCAATATTTCACATCCATACATGAGACATTTGGTAAGCCGCTATGTAGTACATGGAATAATATTCAGTCAGTTACTCATTTTATCCTTTATTAATACATTAGAGGTGTTTTAAAAAAGCAACCAGCGTTTGTGATCATGTTCGACATATCCCGCAGTTTGGAGTCATTAATGCTTGCATCAGCTGTGGATTCCAACGGTCTTCAGTATCTAGGCAACACTGATGGGATTACAGGTTCTTGTGATAAACTGCAGCAATTACAAAAATACAAAAGAGGGGCATTAGAGGTAACAATGATAACTGTTGTGCTGGTAACCATGGAGATGAAATACACTGCAGTGCTGCGCTATAGGTACATTAGGCTGCGTGGATTAGGTGTGGGAGACGGTGAACAGATGATAAAAAGCTTAGGAAAACTTGAGGGACGACAACAGTATTCAGTATGTGAATGAATTTGAAAAAGATTTACTGTAAAAATCTGTAATCAATATCTCTTTGCAGAGAACGCCCTGCGGAGTCTATTGGAGGCCCTAACAAGCCCACCCTACGCTCCCATGCAGCATCTGGAGAGAGAGCAGGCCCTCGCCAAACAGTTCGCAGAAATCCTGCACTTCACTCTCAGCTTTGATGAGCTTAAAGTGAGTGTTTCTCATGCATTACTCACTTTAATTGCATGTGGCATGAGTTCTGCTACAATATTCAACCCTGCAATCAGTCAAGCCTCTTCACACTGATGTTCTCCGAGAGTCATGTCAAGCAAAATGTCTAAATGACCGCACTAGCTGGTCTGTTTCTAAAATGCACCCTTGAGAATGGACATTTTAAGAAATTTTAAGAAACGAGATACACTGTTTTCTGTAACCTTAATGAACCCAGGCTCAGTACATCAGTGAATTGGATGGAGAGTACATGTACATTCTAGGGATTTTCATTCTGCACTTAAGATAAGATAAGTTTACTTTGAAATTAATTTTTGGTACGTTTTAGCTTACCTCAAGGGCATTCAGATTTAGGTGTCTTTGTTTCCACAGTATTTTCAATTTTTATATATTTCGGTCAAACAGTTCTTGTCTGTCAGTCATATAATGCAGGTATAGGGGGTCCACGCAGAGAGAAGTCCAAATTAAACATGATTTAATGACTCATAAATGCAAGTATACTGTCTTTACTGCTAGATGACAAATCCAGCCATACAGAATGACTTCAGCTACTATAGGAGGACCATCAGCAGGAATCGTCTGAACAACCAGCAGGTAAGATCAATGATCTGCTGAAATCAACATTACTAGAAGTGTTTACTCTACCACTGAGTTAGATACTGCACGTTACTGGGTCAACATATTTTGTTGATCCTGGAACAACATTCCTGTCCAAAATGCAGTCCTCTATCATAACTAACTACCCCTGAGCCTACCCCTAAGTTATCCCTAAAATGAGAGGGAAATGATGGGTGAATACCAATGATCCAGAAGCACCAAGAAGTCCCTCAAAACCGATTGGTTGAAAGGAATGTTGTACCAGGATCAACAAAGATGTTCATCCAGGAACATGTTGCACTTGGTGAAATCAGGTTCTGCAAAGGAGCACATCTGTTTTCAATGAAAACGACGTCAACATGAAAAGGAGTGCAGAACACCAACTAGCAACCTACAGTTGAACAGCCCCAAAAATAACCATTTGAGAATTTTAAAAATGTCTGAGCAGAGATTACATTTGCATGCGGTGGTTAGTAAACGTGTTAGCCTTTATATGCAACCGAAACATCTGAAGTAACATTTCCCATTTGCATTACAGTTAGAAGCTGAGAATGAAGTAAATAATGAAATGGCCAATCGGATGTCGCTCTTCTACGCTGAAGCCACACCCATGCTCAAAACCCTGAGCAATGCCACGACTAAGTTTGTGTCGGAGGTAAGTAAAGTTTTCACAGAGGCTGTGTCTGAAATCACCCCCTTAACCCTTAAATAGGGCACTATTTGAGGGAACAGCCATTTGTAGTGGTGTCCGAAACCATGGTGGACATTATCAAGAGCACTCATTCACTCCCACATTGCATCACAATAACGTGTGTATAACCGATGTACGCTCAACGGTTAGAAAATAACGCACTGGGATACGCCAGAAGACGGCACTCGCAGCTGAATCATCCATCCATCCATTTTCCAAACCGCTAGTCCAATGTGGGTGCACTGTAATATCATACAGGTTTAAATTCCTTTTTAATTGATTATTGTTTAATTAAGATTTATACATGCTAGTTTCCATGACAGAGTTCAAGATAAATCTTTTCATTACCACTGGAGCAGCCAATTTGCTAAGCACAACTATGAAAACAACTATGAGTGAGCCGTAAGGGCTGCCACTTTTACTCGTTTTTATTCACTCCTATTAGTGGAGTAATGTAAGGGATGGTAGTAATGCAAGGGATAAGGGAATGATTTCAAACACAGCCTAAATCTTCTGTAAAGGTAGAAAAAAGAAATGTTGTCGCCCTCTAGAGGCTCTTACTGGTCTTGATTCACTTGCATGTTGCAGAATAAGACTTTGCCAATCGAGGACACCACAGATTGCCTGAGCACTATGGCCTGTGTGTGCCGTGTCATGCTGGAGACTCCGTAAGTTCATGTCTTCTAAATAAAAGAATGCAATTATTTGAGTTTTTATTCAAGTCAGTTATCCAGAATAGGTTAATTTTTGTTTAAAATGATCGCTATGTCCGGTCCCAAGGGAGTACCGGTGCCGTTTCACTAACACAGACACCATGCTGTTCTGCATGCGTGTGATGGTGGGCGTCATCATCCTTTATGACCACGTTCATCCAGTGGGTGCCTTTGCCAAGACCTCCAAGATTGATGTAAGACCAACTTATTTATTTCAGATACAGTGGACCTTAAAAATGTATGAATGTAATTTCATTATACAGTATATTAAAATATCAAAGTAAAGACACTTTTCAAAAAAAAAAAAAGTATTACTGTTAAAGTATGGACAATTTCTGGATGTCAAATTTTTAGTTAGCAAAGTAGTTCAGTTTTTAAAAAAACTTTTGCTGATAATTTCCTCACCCCCATGTCATCCGAGATATCCATGTCATTCTTTCTTCAGTTGAAAAGAAATTAAGGTTTTTGATGAAAACATTCCAGGATTTTTCTCCATATAATGGACTTCAGTGGGAACCAAACGGTTCAAGGTCCAAAAGAGAGTTTCAGTGCAAACTGTTCAAAGGGCTTTAACGATTCCAGACGATGAATAAGGGTCTTATCAAGCGAAACGATCACTCATTTAAAAAACTTAATAAATAAATGTATAAAAAAAATATAAAAAATACTTTGTTCATTTATCAAAATGAACTAATCTTTTTTCGTGGCATTTGGTTCGTTCAACGAACGAAATGAACGAACTGACTTTTTGATGATTGAGTTCATACAAGAGAGTCACGAACAGTGCAAGGCGACCATTTGAGCTTTTAAATATTAAACTGTTTTTTCATGAGTGATCGATTCACTTGATAAGACCCTTACTCATCGTCTGGAAACGTTTAAAGCCCTTTGAACGCTTTGCCCTTTGAAACTGTCTTTTGGACCTGTTTGGTTCCCATTGAAGTCCATTATATGGAGAAAAATCCTGGAATGTTTTCATCAAAAACCTTAATCTCTTTTCAACTGAAGAAAGAATGATATGGACATCTTGGATGACATGGGGGTGAATAGTTTATAGTTATAGGCTATGGAAAAGCATTATTGGTTTGCGAATTGTATTTCGTTTGTCTAATGCAAGGGAACTCAAACATTTAAGTTTGGTTAAAGTGTCTACAGGCAGATTCAACTGCTTCATATTTGGAGAATTTTATATCATTGAACTGCTCTCGTACAGTAGCCCACCCATGTACCCAGTACTCGCATGTCGTTTCAAACCTGTATTTTGTACAGGGTTGTGATCACAGTCAGGGGTGAGGGTCAAAAAGGGGTGACCTTTCTTTTAAAGCTGTATTTTCCCATGCATGCATGTGTGTGTTGCAGATGAAGGGCTGCATCAAGGTGTTGAAAGAGCAGCCTTCAAACAGCGTGGAGGGACTGTTGAATGCACTGAGGTGAGTGTGGAGTAAATCACTTCACACAAAGAATGTGCAGCACATGTAGTATGTACACCTGAAATTGTACTCTTTTTCATCCAGGTATACCACAAGACATTTAAATGATGACAGCACCTCAAAACAAATCAGGGCTCTGCTTCAATGAGAGCAGGAGGAGAGGGAGGAGGACCCACAGAGACAGGGACTGTCAGAGAACAAGCGATGGTGGCTGGCAGTCCTCTGAAACCTGTTTGTTTACAAGAGCAACTTGATCTCAAATGAAATAAGATATTCTAGAAAAGAAAAAGGAATACGAAAATAAATATATATATAGAGAGAGAGATTGTTGATGGTTCATCACCGTGTGTCATTTTATAAAAGCAGGAAAAATAGAGATATATATGTATATTAAAATTCATTACTTAAAACTACCTGGGTGTGGATATAAAAGTCTTTCAAAAACATATTAAATATTTAAGAATTGAATTTAAAAGCGGTAGTTAAAACCACCAACAAAACTGGTTCATATTCCAAGTTCCGCCTGAGAGTATTTTTGCACACTTGAAAAGGAATCCCACCTCACAGGAAAGACATTAACATGGCTTGAAACTGTATAATTCAGATCCCTTTTCACGCGTTTTTAGACTTGATTTGATTTGCAACGCCTCGTTATTCCCGTATGTGCTTCGTCCAATGCATTCTGGGAATTAAAACCGGAGTCCTTGGCATTTCAAGTCTGTTGAAGGATAAATGTAAAGATCACATACTTGAGACGCATCTCTGCTGACATCGCCAGAAATCAAACTATAATCCTCTAGCTGTATATACTCGGAAAGCACAGGATAGTTTTGTAAAGAAATGAAGCGTTTTGTTAGACTTCTTCACTAGTGCTGTACAGCAATACTCTATACCACCAATGTGACAAACCCGTTCATTTGAAATGCCTTCATACCAATGTATGAGACGCCGGATAATGCTAACAGTTCATCTGTGGAGTTGTACATATCATCAGACGAACAATCCTTTAAAAGTTACGTTTTTGCTCTTGTAAAGTTGACGTTCAAACGGAGCGAGTAAGCCATGAAACTGTAATTCAGACGCAAACACACATTCTGCCCTGTGCCATAGCTGCTTCCTGTACCACTGCGTCAGAGTGACGTATAACAAACATCATTCGTAGAAACCAAAACACACCATTGAGAACAACACAGCGATGTGGATTTGCTTTCCTCTGTATCCAAAAGCAAATCATTGCCAAATGGGACTGCAACTTTGCCTTTCAGATAAATAGAAGTGAGACGTTTGGTCATGAACACAATCTCAAAACAACAGGCTTGAAGGTGCAAAACACTTGACTTGGTGTAAATAAGAGGATTTTTACTAAACAAACGTTCCATCGAGACTCTTTGTTAGAATTACAGATGCATATTAAAAAAAAAAAAGACGTGGGTTGAAAAACAAAAATGAATCAAAAAGATTATGCCGCGACAAACGCAGTGCTGTACTTTGAGTGTCTCTCGCCATTAGTCGAACTTGATTTGATCTTCTAATATGTTTTCTATATGGGGTTCTGTTGAAAAACAAAAGCTCTGTATGGATATATAGATGGCATGCTGTAAAAGTTCAGACAAGACTGTAAATATGGTGTTTTTATTCATTTTTAATTGTTCGGTGAATCTGAATTGGGTGTGTGTTGTCTCTAAGAAAACCATGCGTTTTGGCTTGGACCATCGGACTTGCCGTAGACATGATCCAGATCTTCAACTTCATATCAGCTGGGAAATTCAAACAGGGCAGGGAGGGGGGGGACGGGCTGTCCATTTGCTTGTTATTTTGTACATTTTGTGCAAGAAATAAACTTGTCATTTACTACATTCAACATGGCATTTTGTCATTGACCTTTGTTCTCGGACTTTTTTCCTTTTAAAAAAAGGTTATTCCATGTTCATGATCAAAAGAAGCACTGAAGTGTATTTCTAAGGTTAAATGATGTCAGATATATAAAAATGCTTTGAATCCCACTGACTCAAGTAAATTAGTGCTGTGTGTTGCTGTCCAATCAAATTAATTTACTATATAAACATTTCAGAGAATTAACATGGGCCAAAAATATTAATACCATGGGTGTCATGTATTTATAATTAAACGCAGGTGTATCTGAAAGATGGATTATCCGCAGTACCGTGCAATGAAATACATTTATGTTATTAAAGATTTCGATTAAAAAAAATTCTGCTCTTTCACTGTAAAAATGAATACGCTATATCTAATCAATAAAATCGTGACAACAGATTACAAGCAATATTATTAATTAAATTTAACAAATTAGAACTGAGTAATAATTAATCAAATCAACCATTTAAAATTAGTAAAATTTACACCAAAAATCAAACAAAAATATCTGAATAACAGATAGACGTCAAAGATGAATCAAGAATGCTTTATTTTATATTGCCAATATTGAAGACACCTGATGTTAACAGGCAGAATCACTGAAGGAGAAAACCATAATTGTAAGTGTGTGTTTTAGTTGGACTATTTACCCTTAAGTCATTAACACTTTAAATTTTGTTACCCAAGTTATAACAGTCAGATGAACAAATACAAAAGGTTATCTGATGGTGTTGGTTATTTTAACAATTTTTTTTTTTTTTTTACAATTAATCGACTGGTTAACTTTAACTCATTACTGGTTAACTTTTAAGGAATTTTAAGGATAATTAAGATTTGAATAATTTGAATTTTAAGGAATAATTTAATTAATTATTACTCAATTCTAATTTGTTAAATTTAATTAATAATATTTCTTGTAATCTGTTGCCACAATTTTATTGCTTAGATAGCATATTCATTTTTACAGTGTTCTTTTCATCAAAGAATCCTGAATAAATGTATCAGTTTTCAGAAAAAAAAAATGCAGTACAGCTGTTTTCAACATTGATAATAATAAGAAAATAAATCTTGAGGATCAAATTAGAAAAATGTGAAGGCTGGGGTAGAAAAACACCTTTTAGACACGTTTTAACAGCAGCATATACTGAAGTTTAAAAATATATTTTCACTCAGAAAATCTGAGATCCAATAAACAAAATATATTATTAAATATTTTAGGATCTGGATGCTGGCTAGCATGAACAAGTTGCACACAGACTTGCGAAATTTGTGTGATTTTTTTTTATTGATTTAACTTATAAACAAATCATTTTGCAAGCAATATTAATTACTGTAGTTACGCTAAAAAGTTTACACACCCCTTGAAGTACCTAAAGGTTATTTCTTATTTAGCATTTCCCTAAATAATATACAATTAGTCTACAAGACGAAATAATTATATTGGTGTATTTTGTACAACAATTGCAACCGCTTTTAATCACTAATTTAGTAGAAATGGTTATATAATGACCACTGACTAGTTTACTTTAAAGTGTCGAAAAATAAATAAAGCCCATGTTTATTTGTTCTTGTTTTTTTTTGTGTGTGCAAGTGTCTCTCATCAGGTAATCAAACACACACTTGGGACAAATACATGAAATACATCATGTAAGCTGACAAGGGGTCAAGCGCAGAGACCGTGTGGATATCTGGACAGGCCCACTGAATATAAATGCAACATCCAAAGTTTGAAGTGTTTTCTTCAGGGGAAAAAACGCTACGTTAGAAATATGTTCACAAACGAAGAAGATCAGCTTCATCTAACCACCAGAGGGAAGCAAAGTATTACAGGTGAGACTTCTTGTCCATGTTCATTAGTATCAGGTGGCCCTAAAATATTTATAGCTTCATATTTGCTATTATGAAAACATTTACACCCCCATATATCACATCTTTACAGAAGCCCAGAGAGTTTGAGGAGGGTCTGCTGGATATTAGTGCAGAGAGAGCTTTAATAATCTGGGGCAGAAAAACACACAGGAGATGAGATGAAGTGTGTGTGGTTATTACTGGAACACTGAAGAACTAAGACTCATGCACAAATACCTTTCTGTTTAAATATATAGAAAAAGATCCAATCCCATGTTTTTCATGACAGTGCAAACTAATTATGACGCGTCTAATGATTTAACCACTGTGTTCTGGAAAGTACCCTTACTGTAATTACAATTTAACTAACTAAAGCTCTCTGGTCACCAGCACTGAATTCTTCATTGGTAGATTAAATGTTTATTTCAGCCCTCCGTCCATTCTCAAGACATCTGAAAATAAATATTTGATCAGTGACTGATTATCTTGTCATGGAGAGAGCAGCCATGTCTAGACATGTCCAGTGCTGAGTCTGACCCAGTAAGTATGCAGGCAGTCCATCATCTCAGACCTGTCCATTGAGACTATGATAATGCTAAGATATATGTTGGAGGATTTCTAGGTAATTTGAGGACGGGCGAGTCCGTTGGCAGGTGCACAAACCGGCTCAACGGGCACCCGTGCCACTCCCAAAATCAACAGAGGAGAGAGTGGAAAGTAAAGTGTGGATTCTCTATCCGGCGGGCACGGACTGTGACAGTTACTGTGTGTGTTTTATGACGGGCCCTTAAGGGTTGATGAAAGTGTGCATGTCATTTTACTGCATTAAGATTAGTGTGTTAACCCAGTTTATCAGTATACTCCCATAACCCTGAGTCTATAGGCAACTAACAAATGAGTGGTTGTGCGTAGTCAAGATAAATCTTGGCACAAATGAACTGTGGTTATATTCCCCAACCGTCATCACCTCCACCTGCCCTGTTCACACCCACACCAACTGTAACAAATAGCGGTTACACAGCAAATCATACTCAAAACATTAACATTACTTGTGTCCAATGCCGGGGACACATTTAATAACTGTAAGGTCGATTATGAGAATGTAATTTGATAGGTTACTTATGACAGATCATGCGCAAACGTGCCGAGTCAGAGACAGTTGCGTTCAGTTGGAGTTCAAAATCAGCTCCAGTCATTGGAAACAGTCTAATTGTGTTCAGTTCACTTCAGTCTTAGAATGTATCAGCTAGTCGTTACATGTGGGACATTAAGAATAGATAAATATGTGTGATTAATCGCCAGTTAACTATGACATTAATGTGATTAATCGCGATTAAATATTTTAATTGCTTGACAGCACTGATATATAAACATACACACACACACACACACACATATATATATATATATATATATAAAAATACATATATATATACATACATACATACATACACACACACACACACATATATATACACATATATATATATAAACATACATATACATACACACATACATATATGAAGAGTTCAGATGCAAAAGCCTCTAAGTACCATTTGAAATTTTCTTCTAGAATGATCATTTTTATCAAGCTTGTATATTTAAGTTCAGTAATTTCACTTAAATTGCAATGAGGATTACCTATTAATTGTCATTTAAGTGAAATTACTGAACTTGAATATATAAGCGTGATAAAAATGATAATTTTAGAAGAAAATTTCCAATGGCACTTAGAGGCTTTTGCATCTGAACTCTTCATATATACAGTATATATATATATATATATATATACATACATACACGCACATATACATGCACACACATATATATATATACACATATTTACATATAAAATACACACACACATATATATATATATATATATATATACACAGACACATATATATATATATATATATGAAGAGTTCAGATGCAAAAGCCTCTAAATGCCATTTGAAATTTTCTTCTTTAATGATGATTTTTATCAAACTTGTATATTTAAGTTCAGTAATTTCACTTAAATGGCAATGATAATTACCAATTAATTGTTATTTAAATGAAATTACTGAACTTAAATATACAAGTTTGATAAAAATCATCATTAAAGAAGAAAATTTCAAATGGCATTTAGAGGCTTTTGCATCTGAACTCTTCATATATATATATATATATATATATATATATATATATATATATATATATATACACACATTCTCATAATGTATAAGTGTGTATATATACACTATATATTTATGTGTGTTAGTGTGTATTTAAAAATGCTATATAGAAAAATGCAGTCGAGACATTCCTTACAATGTCTAGTTTTGCATTCTATGGAGAGAGAAAAAAAATCTTAACGTGAACCATGACAAAATGTTCATTTTATGGGTGATGTGTTCCTATCATTTCTGTGCGTCTGTTCAGATCTAATTCTAGTGTGAAAGCACAAACTGAAATATATAAATATTGAAAACAGAAGAGGCTTTCCATGAGATGCTTAGGCAAAACTTCAAGAAGATCATCACAAAGACAAGTTCTCTCTCTGAGGGCCAACAAAATTTTCACACCGCTTTATCTTCAGAAATCTATTCAATAGTAATGGAAAAATCATTTAGATCAATAGCCAGCAGCGTAACTTACAAATTTATAACAACTACTTTAAAATCTTTAGGCGTTCCACATGCAAATATCCCACACCGAT